TGATCACAACCATACTTTCAGAGATTTATATTTGAACTTTTTCAGTTACAATTAAAGGCAGAAGGTAGCAGTTGACATTATTGGTAAATTAATTCTCTGCATTTACATATGTGCTGATGTAACTAACATACATCTATACATGGCTTTACTGAGCATGATCTTGCATTTGCTACAGCCTGCTATGGTCAAAATGCCTGAACCTAAGAATATGCTACCACAGTACCTACGTTTCTCTGTAGAAAAGGTCAAGTGTAATCCTAATTTGGGCTACTGAATTTTAGCCCCTTCACTGGTTATACAATGGTTATCTACATGTTTATGACCGATGTTTCACAGCGGAGGGAGTATTTAGGAATGCATACAAGCAATTCCTGTATGAAGCAACACCACATAAGCTCTATATTTCAGAACAAGCATTCTGCATTTTCAGAGATTAATCTGTGTCGATATATTCAGTGTTTAAGAAGGGCGATCGATGCGCTTTGGTGTACATGATGGTATGATCCTTTTTTTATTGATTTCTTATATGCCATCAAGACTTGTTTCACTCATATTTCTGCTTTGTTTAGAGCATACTTCATCCACCGCCGCCGCCTCCTCCCATCCCAGATCCGCTGCCGCCACCGGAGGAAGGGCCCCTCCCGAGACCCGCTTCTCCCTCGAGTCAGGTCGTGTGGGCGCCATCGTCATCTTCTGCCTTCGGTGCGTGGCACCACTGCCGGAGAGAGCGACGAGGAGGTCCAGCAGCCCGTGCTTTCATCGTCGTGCGGCGCCAAAAGAATGACGAGGAGGCGGAGCAGTTCGTGGTGTCTTCGTCATCGCCGGCCGTGCTGGTATGTTGTGCTCCTTTCCCTGCTCAGCCGCCTATGCTACTCCACCACCACGGGATACAAGTATGGCCCTGCCATGGCTGAGTGGAGGATGATCATTTCGTCTGAATTTTCCAATTCTTCTTGGCCTTAGTTTTTAGGTATTTCTGGCGATCTGTGATTTGTTCACTATCTCGCCTCGTATGATGCGCCTCCCCGTGTTGACGTGGTGTGATTGATACAATCTTGTGGCCGATGGCTGATAGCCCGGGCAGATTCAGCTGATACTGGTTTGGTAGGGTGAGAAAAACTGTGTAGTACACATGCTATGTGCTCGCAGTATAGACAGAACGGTGGATGTTTCTGAGCTACTGTGATTTTGCTTGCTACGTCGATTAGGAAGTGAGTACGGAGCATACAAGGATTTGTCGGCGTGCTAATTTTGACATTGAGTTATCCTTGAGGGCCATACTGGTTTGCTTGTTGGCATGTATTTTTCTCAAGCGAGTGAAGGGGTGGCAAATTGATGGTTACAACATGACCTGGAATTGCTTTGCTTCCTGGAATCCAATTGGCTGCCCTAAAAATGTATTGCAGCAACTTGAATCTGGTAGTGTTATTTTGTGTTAACAAGACTTTTAGGTCTTGCATTTGTGCCACCAGTGCACTTCATCTGATGATGCTCAAAGATTTCTTCATAGGAATCAGCTCTTCAGTTTAAGGCTTTCAGACGAAGTATATACTATTGAAATTTGTATGCAAGCTTAATCCCATGTGGAATCTAAACTAGCTGGGTTCACTCATATGTTTTAACTTTAGGTTTATAGTCTATAGTATATAGAACGCATGAAATGTCCATCTTCAAAATATTACTGTTGGTACCAGAGGAAGGGAAATGGTTTAGGCATTGTGTGGAACACGGGATTTTTTCCTTAATACTGCAGAAAACGTAGGGTTTCCTGTAAAATTTACGCTCTTAAAATATGCCATTAACTCTACCCATGCTGGTATTTTTACTACATCCATCTGTTGAAACCGAGATTCTTCTTGGCAGGCTGACCATGACACAGAGTTAGAGGCCATCAGGCAGAGGCGAGTGCAAGAGCTAATGGGACAACATGGTGGTGCGGTAAGTTAATTAAGTGCATGGTGAAAGTTGAATCTATACTGGAAAATTTCTTGATTGACTGACTGGAATATAATGATTAATTTTATAATTTTATAATTCAGGGCTAAAGTTTGGGATTTTAGGAGTGAATCATTTGAGCCATTTGTCTAACTATGTGCTTATGATAACTTCATAGATAGAATCAATACTGATGTATTTATCTCTCGCATGTGCAACTGCAGTAGCCTGACAATTAGTCCTCAGTTGGACAACCTCTCACTTATTAATTAACATGCAGCGTTGGAGGGAGTGTCGCGTCTTGTGGCAACTGCGCCACCAATCAATTGCCTAGGCCAGCTGGCCGATGCGCTCTGTGTATCCGAGGATGACGTTCGATTTGACCTGACCAGCAGCCGCTGCCGCTCCCACAACCACATCACCGGCCATCCAGTGGGCTTCTTATACCCATCTATGTTCTTTGCAACATTGTACCGCAGAACGTAGATTTTAATTCAGTGTGTCGATCCTACATGCTTATTAATGAACATGCAGCGTTGGAGGGAGTGTCGCGTCTTGTTGTATTCAGAGATGCTCTGTATTTTGTGGTAGGAATTTTAAGCTCTAAGGACATAATTATTCAGCCTGCAAGATTTTTGCTTTGGGTTTTAGAAAACTGAACAACAGTATAGCAACATATTTACTGTAGTACCTGTGTGCATGTCTGCATGATCATCTTCTTGGTGGCCTGATTAGAATTATGCTAATTTTCTTGCTTTGCACTTGGGGTAAACAGGCTAGACTAAAAGGTACGATACTAATGGCGAACAGCATGATACCGACCTGATGTGTAATAGTTGCAACTGACCAACTCAAATGAATACTAAGTATCTTCTCAGCCTGTTATCTCAGTATGTATTGCTCTTTCATTTGCTATTTGCCCAGAATTTGGGACAGTATGGTGGATATTATGATGATCAAAAGAATACTAAGTATCTTCTCAGCCTGTTATCTCAGCATGCGTAATAGATTCATATGATGATCACAAGAAGTTATATAAGGTTGCTTTTGTTTTAGTACTTATGCCAGCATTCCAAATAGAATTTAGCAGTGCCAAGAATGACTACTACTGAACTGCACTAATAATAATCCAGTGACACCAAAATGAAGACACATAAGCAGATGTAATTAAGCAACTAAGGACCTTCGAATTAAGGCCGTATGAGGATGTCAGCACAGAACAACACAAATATTAGTTCTCAACTCCTTGAATTTCAGGTGACACATGAAAAGTTTACTGAAAATCAGCCATCTATTTTCCATGTTCTTTTGCACCACAACCTACAGGTACCGATAACATAGATATATGGCATTGTATCAGATCAGATGGAACCTAACAACCAAGCAAACCAGCTAATGATCAATAAGAAAGTGAAACAATATGACATGAATTTCAGAAAAGCGTAATACTATCATTCATGTCACCAAAGAAAATAGTACCTTCAAGTTGGCCTGATTTAGAGATGAACTTCCGCATGTGCTCTTGGTATTTGCACAGATTGTTCCCAACCACTGAAACAACATCGCAGATGAAGGGGATCACAATGTGTGACAATTTATTTTCAGTTGGACATGATGTAATTGGAGGAAAATGCAACGAGCGTAAAGAAAAATAGGTTCAGCAGCAAACGAATAGATTCCGAAAACAATGTATATATATAGAGAAAAATAAAATAGGAATATTAAGTGTCCTATATTACACCCACATGTGAAGGCCCAAAGCTATTTTCAAAATAGTTTTATAAGCTAGCTCTAGATTATATAGGCCACAGTAATCAGAACAATTTTGGAAGCCAGCTCTAGATTTTATACGATTCAAACAAGAAGCACAAGACACATGATTGTGCAACTGATGCATAGTCACCCTCAACTAGGGAATAGCCCACAGCTGAGACATAGAAATGAAAAAATCCTACCAAAACATGCCAGTGTTATTAGGCCATTAAATAGACATTGATGCATATATTGGCTTTCAACTCCATATCGACTCACATGGCAAATTGCATATAGTTCAAATTGCATATATGCTTACAAAGTGCATATAGTTCTCTTAATTTTCACAAAAGAAAATTGACACGGTAACAAAAACGAAATCTCAGAACAATGCTCAGAGATAAACCCGAGCCTTCTGTAGAACAATGGCGAATTGACCAAAGGAGAGCACAAAAGTAGGAACTCTGCGCTGCTGGAGATTAACCAATGATCTCTTTCTTGCCATAGTTACCACCATCAAGCCCATCGGCATTGCAAACAATCCAGGTAAGCAACACCAAACACTACAAAGAAAAATTTAGGAACTGCGTACAACTGCAGCCGCACCAGCTTGTAATATTTTTGGCGAGGGCTGCATGGGACATAAGCGAAAGGGAGACGGAGAGAGACCGAACTGAATCGGCAGTGACGACGACACCATCGAAGTTAGGGATGCGGTGGTGGACGTGGCGGGGGTGGCGCTCCAGTGCGCGGTTCCCTCGTCCTCACGGCCGTGCCCGGCCCGGGCGTCGGCGTCGAGGCGGAGCCTCCTGGCCTCGAAGGCGGACGCGTCGAACGAGGACGACAACGATGCGTCTCCAGGAGTCTCCTACCAGGAATACGACAGGACCAGCGAGAAGACCGCGTGTCGCCATCATGGCGGACCCTCTGCTCCGACCGCGGCCTCCTTAGACGGTCGCCGCAGACCCTCGCCGGCTTCTTTTGTGGCACTTCTCAAAACATCTGCCACCTGCTTTTCCTCAACTTTCCGGCCAGCAGGTCAGGCCAGCAGCCCCTGGTCGATCCATCCCTCCCTTACCTGCACCGCGGTGGCTATACCCATGGCTTCAAAGTCATGGATTGCTGCGGCGGCCTCCTCCTCTGCAAGTGCTTCACGTCATCTCCCCCGGGCGTGGATTACGTTGTGTGCAATCCGGCTACCGAGGATTGGACCGTGTTGCCTCACACCGAGGAGCTGCGCCCGGAGAACATCATCCTTCTGGGCTTCAACCCTGCCGATCCCTCCTGCTTCGTGGTCTTCGTGATCGTGCTGGATGATGACAATGCCGGTGAAATCGATCACTGGAGTGGAGATATACTTGTCGGAAACCAGAACATGGATTCCAAAGCAAACTGGGTGGGCTCAAGAAACTAGGGTGCACCACTATCAGGCTTTAAATTCTCTCTTTATGAATGGCACTCTGCATTTGATCACTAAAGATTCTTCTATCGTCACGGTGGACACGGGTGGCAAGACTTGGCGGAAAATCTCGAGGGCATACCCTGGTTGGGAATGTATTGGGCAGTCTCGGAGATGCTTGCATGTTGTGGACATAGATCACTATAATGATGATGGATTCCTACTCTCAGTTTGGGTTCTTGAGGATGCTAGTGGAAATTGGACTCTAAAGCACACTGTAAATCTTTCAGAACTGATAGGAATGCATGTTCACAAATTTGATGAGCCCTATAGAGTTATCGGTATCCATCCGGACTGTGATTTGATTTTCTTGGTAGACATGGAACATGAGAAATTTATCTTGTACGATATGGATAGCCGGAAGGTACACGTTCTCTACGGCGGTATAGGATACCACTGGCAACCGTATCGTCTTTACACTCCCTGCTTTGCTGAATGGTTATCAGATGGTAACTGAACATGCATGGAACTCGTGCCAGCCTTCATAAAATCCAGATGTTGAGTATGAGTCAGAGCTCTACTTCTAGAGCCTGTTGCTTGGAAATGTTATTTGCCCACTTCGATTTGACTTTTCTGTTGTAGATTTTCAGCTCTGGTGTTTTCCCTTTTATGACTTTGAATAATGTTGGTTAGCCAAGGAGAATAGAAGCCTATTGTTGTACTGTATAGTTATTATACTATTTCAAGTTATCAAGTCACTTCATGAGCTGCGCTGATATTTCAAAATACCACTAGTTCTTTGTAATCTTATATTTCAAAATACACATGAGATTTCTCTGTGTTATTTTGTATTCTTTTATATCACTTAATGTGTATATTTGCTTTTATGTACAGATGCTTATGGCGACGGTTAACAATGTCGAATTCAGATCATCTATCTGTACTCCCAATTTTAATGCTTGAATTAGCTTCAGTATCAGCTTAAGATGCTACTCAGGCAGTATTCCTCCCTAAATTAGTATTAGGAAGTGTCAGCTTAAGATGATTTCAGTGGAAACTCTAGACAAATATGGGCTCTTTTAGCTAGATTATCACTACATTCATAAATAACAGATCGAGCTCTCCACGCAATATGACCTGGTTCATGTCCTTTTTTAAAGGAAAACTAGAACATCAAGGCGCGCGTTGCTGCGCCCGCCTATCTTGAGGAAAGAGTAATAAGATAATGTAAATATTTATGAAACACAAATGGAAGTATATTATATTATAATTGAACATTCGAGTTCCAGTGCCACAGATTGTAGAATGAAGTACAATATATATTTAACCATAGATAGAAGAGCCAGTTCAAATAGTCAGGCAGCATGAGATTTTATAAATTATTTGCAAAACCGTATGATAGAAAACTGGCAACGAAAATATTTAAACGATCGATGGTGAGAGAAGATGATGTCATATTACTTTCACTGTACCACAGATCCATCAGTCAGAGAGCAACCTCTAATCAACACAAACCATGGATCCAAATAGGGTGAAAACATATAGATTACCTTCAGTAACATGTCCATGCTACGAGAATGCATCATTCAGAGAACTTTCATTGGAGCCATACTGCCATGGTACCATTGGACAAACCTGCAGCTGAGTGTTGAAGAATAGCAAGCAATAAAAACATCATGAACTGTAAGTCAGCAATCCTAACATTTACATTTATACTTAAAATTAGCTAGGTTTGCAAACTGCGATCCAGGAGGAGGCACCCATGCATATCTCAAAACCAATAGGGCATTTGTGTCCTAACATGAAACAAGCTGACAATAAATTGAAAGGAATGTGTGCACAAAGAAAAGTAGAGAACCTCATGTAAATCTTACCCCCAATGGATATTTTGGAGCATGAGCAGAAAACAACAGTCCCCTGTGAAAGTTAGTTGCTCATTATCCAACACTCACCTCATGCTGACAACACTCGTCAAGCATAATATCTCCCTGAACAATAACAGTGCTTAAAATAGTTCTAGAGAAGATATTTGTGCATGAAGATGGTATGATAAAGAAAGCTTGCAAAAGAAAACTGATGAAGAAAGCTTTGCAAAAGAAATGCGCTGAATTTAATAAACCATCGACTGAACTAGTACTGTATGCTGTAGTACTACAGAAAGTGCAAATCCATCCTACCCAACGCAAACCCACTCTCTGCATTTGCATGTCAAGCGACGACAACGTGCCCATGGACGACGCCAACGCCGACGCCGGCGAGGTCCTCGACGCCATCGCCTCCGGCGCGCAGCGCCACCCCACCGCCGAGAGCGCCCTGGCCTCCGATGCGCAGCACCACCCCGCCGCCGAGAGCGCCCTGGCATCCGACGCGCGCCACCACCTCGCTGCCAAGAGCGCCCTGGCCTCCGACGCGCACCACCACCTCGCCACCGAGAGCGCCCTGGCCTCCGACACCCAGCAGCACCAGGCCGCCGTCACGACCGCTGCGCCAGCCCAGGAAGCGGTGCCGCCCGAGCTCCACCACCAGCTCATGGGCCTGCGCGGGGATGACGCCGCGGGGAGTTTCCTGGCCGCCGTGGTGAAGAGGGCCGAGGACGCCATCGCCGACGAGTACGACGCGAGGGCGAGGCTCCTGGAGGCTAGGTGCGAGGAGGCGGCCACGGCGGTGCGGGCGGCGGAGCAGGACATTAGCTGCCTCAACGACGAGCTCGCCGGTAAGAATCCATGGATTGGTCGTGCTGTGAGCTCGATAATGATCTGATTATTTAGGAAAATGTTAATCTTGTTGGGTTGTTACCTGCCAGAGCTGAGGATCATATCTGAGGAGATCATACCAGAGTTGAACTGTGAGGATCCGGAGGAGCAGAATCAGAGGCTCAGGGCGTTACTGGACGCCACGACCAAAGAGCTCGAGTGGAAGATGGACAAGATTGCAGAATTGCAGGAGCTGGAGAAGGTAGGCTCATGCCATCTTTTGTCTGAACTCCAGAATGCTGTCTTACTTTCAGAGTGCTGAACCTTTCAACTCAGCTCTACAGTATCTTTTTACAAATTGACACCAGCATCAGACTATGAGTACCTAACAAAAAGTTAAGGATGCTAATGTCGGATGTGAGGCCTCAGATGGAGGCCTGTGCAAGTTAATTTATACCCAAAATTTACAGCTGAGTGCAGAATTTTGTTACTGAAGTGACCATCGACATCATATATGTCCAGAGAGACACTGAAATGAAGCAACCAAATACAGTATAAATTCAAATCATCTAGAACTAGCATCAGTATCAGTTTACTTTCAGTTTTCAGAGTGTTGAATTTTCATTTTACTTTCAGTTTTCAGAGTGTTGAATTTTCACGTCTTCAGAGTGTCGTTTTGCAAATGAACACCGACATCAGCTGTTATCAAAATAAATGGGGTTACAGATAGCAATGTCGAATGCTCAAGTCTGGCTGAAAAGGGCGTGAAATACATTTTTATAAATTAACCCTGAATTGCTTATAGCCAAAAAATTACAGCGGCATGTCAAATTTTTTCATTGAACTGATAGTTATCAAAATGCAGCCTACAACCAACACAACACGGTGTACATATGCAGCTAGGGGCAAAAACACTATAAATTCAAATCATCTACAGAATTAGCATCAGTGTCAGTTTGCTTTCAGTTTTCAGGGTGTTGAATTTTCACCTCAACTTCATAGTGTCGTTTTGCAAAAGAACACCGATATCGGCCGTTACAAAAAACAGTTGCGTATAGTACGTGGAATTTCCAAATCCGGCTAGGCTTGAAATGCATTTTTTTTCAGCCAAAAATTGGAACTGTATGCCAAATTAATATTGTATTGACCATGGACCGCAATTCAGCATATGCTCAGAGAAACAGTAACAGAGAGCACCTGCCCTGTTTACAGGCCACCATAGTTCATCTAAAAAGGTTTGATGCTCGGACCTACTCAACACTGAAGATTTGTTTGTTTGTTTGTTTGTCCACTGCCTGAATGAGGGAGTATGCTGCAGCTAGTTTGAGTGGAAATACTAAATATTCACACCAATGTTTGTTCTTTTCAGCTAGATTTTTGGTACATTAATACTCCTTAACAATACTATCCAACAAAGCCACCTCCCCTCGCAGTATGACCCGGTTTATTTGCTTTCGCGATCTTGACATAGTCTTGTATTGTTTTTATTGTCTTATTAGGATAATGGTCCCACACATGGTGCTTCGGAGGTCAACACACTGGACATGACAGGTGGAGAGAACAAGCTGCCTGTGCTGCATGAGATGGAGAAGGTAGGGTCCTGCATTTCTTACCTGAACTCTACAACATGTTAAACTTTCAGTTTTCAGACTGCTGAATTTCACCTGAACATTAGAGTATCATTTTGGAAATGAACACTGATGTCCGCAGTTATCAAAAAGAAATTATGGATGGCAATGTCAAATGCACGCTGAAAAGAGCGTGGTATGTCGAACGCCTAATTCTGTTTTTACAAGCCAAAACATGTAGGTGGGAGTTAAAACAATGTCGAATTCAGATCATCTATCTGTACTCCCAATTTAAATGCTAGAATTAGCTTCAGCATCAGTCCCTAATTCAATCCAGATGCTACTCAGGCAGTATTCCCCCTAAATTTGTATTAGGAAGCTTCAGTTTAAGATGATTTCAGTGGAAACTCTAGACAAATACTGGCTCTTTTAGCTAGATTAGCGCTACATTCATAAATAACAGACTGAGCTCTCCATGCAATATGACCCGGTTCATATCCTTTTTATGGTCTTACCGGAACTCTCCTACACATACACAGGGTGCTTTGGAGATCAACACATCGGAACTGGGAGATGGAGAATGCAAGGTGGCTGATCATGCTCTCATGCTGCATGAAAACCACAAGGTTTCTTCTTCTCTTTGATAGGACAATCGATAAGCTCATCTGCATCATATTCTTAGTAGCTCCATCAAAGTAGCTGACCATGCTAGAACTCGCCTTGTAGCAAGAGATGGAGGCTATTCATGCCAAGATAATTCAACTTGAGAGGCAACTGGAGCAAAGGGATAAAGCCCTAGTGCTCATCGCACGGCAGCTGAACATGAAACTACAAGCAGGGGAGAAGGTCCCAGAGGAAGACCATCAACGTCTTTATGCAGTAATGACGTATGTGAGAAATATTGTGGATGAGGAAGGGAAAAGGATGAAAGTTCCATTGCTAGACCTCTTCAAAAGAGAGCAGGCTAACAGCAAAGAGCTCCAAGAGAATCGCCAAGAGTTGATTCAGGTAAAAGTAAAAGCCGAAAGTTTTTAAAAATTATAGTTGCTCTGTTTCCCTCATTGGGAGGAGTTACATTGTTGCTAGATGTTTTCCTCATTGAAAGATGATGATAATGTGCAAATGTGCAGGGCTTTGAGAACATGCCGATTAGTGGGGGCGCCGTTGTTAGAATCAAAAAGATGGGCCAACTTGATGAGAATCCTTTTCGCGCCGCATGCAATTTGAAATACAGGGACAATGATCCAGAGGGCAAAGCTGCAAGGTTGGTCTCGTATTGGCAGGAGGAAATACAGAAGCCATCATGGCGTCCGTTTACTAATATTCAGGTCGATGAAGAAGATAAGGTGTCTATCCAATTTCCCTACAGCATTCATGCCCTTACATTCTCTGAATTTTGTGTGAATAATCACTAGGGTGTTTTTGGACAATTGCAGGAGGTTATAGATGACAATGATCCAAGACTAAGCAAGCTGCGGTTGGATTATGGCGACAGCGTCTGCAATGCAGTGAAGGATGCACTGAGAGAGCTCAACGAGTATAGTCCTGACGAGCGGCGCATCATGAATGAGGTCTGGAACTTCCGGGAAGGGCGGAAAGCAACAATGACAGAGGTGATCACCTGCATTTTGGAGCAGCTGGCAGTGGCGGACCCAGGATTGCGAGGACAGGAATTCAAGGTTCCCCCCAAAAAATGCTCAAATTCAATATAACCGGCTAGGTACAGCTGTTTAGTTGTATAACCGGATGACAGTAGTTCAATCAACCAACTAAAACAATTAAGACTATCATCCAAGTTACTGACATGTTGCAATTACTTGGCTAATGATGTGATACTATTACAGTGAAACAACGGAACACACTCTCCCTAAGATAACACAGAACATACTCCAAAGCAAGTTGAAAAGAACAGGCATGAACAAAATATGTAAGGTGCGAAACAATAACAGCAACGTATACCTTTAAGGATTTTGTCATATCAGCAATCTCATTGTTGTCATTGGCAGATTCAGATAGACCAACAGTGTTTTCCTGAAACAAATAACAAGAGAAAAATATTTAATAACTCTACAAGAGAAAGAGAAGCCCACTAATAAATAGATGCACACGAAAAAATAATCAGACCTTTGGTGGAACAAATGCAGCTTCTCTCTTTCTTTTCATTTATTCTGATTTCTCTGACTGCTTATCTAGCTTCTCTTGCCATTTCTTTGCTGACTTCTTCTTGTCACTCATGACTTCTGGTCAGATGACACGTGTACATTCCGCCATAAGGTATGGCGGAAAGTGCTTTCCACCATGAGCATTGGCGGAAAGGGACACATGTCGCTTTGTTGTGCTTCTGCCAGGGCATTTTGCCATTCTTACTGAAAGGGGTGTATTCCTGTCAATTGCAATGGGCAGGTGGTTAAATGTGAAAAAAGAAAAACAGATGCAACTATTTGAAGCTAGTAGTAAGTTATTTGAGGATATGTATGCGGTCAACATAAGCCGGGAATGGTTATTTGTTAGGACATTAACACTGTGTCACTACTGTGAGGTGCAAAATAGCAGCAGCGAGTGGCTTGCTTTAAGGAGGAAAGCAGTAAGCAAGTGATGGAGCAACTGCATAGAAACGCTGTCGATCAATATCAGTATAGAAGTTGAAGAACGTTCTCTACATTGACCTGGATTGACTGCACCACACTAACGGAAATACATGATGGAAAGCACACAAGTCTCAAATGTGAAGTGCAGATCTCAGAGCAGATAGCTAATACCAAATAGAAAATTAAAAATGTAACCACTATTCAAGCTTCATACCGTGTCTCTGTTGCCATCTCACTGGGTTTGTCTCAGCCTTTACACCACGTGCAGACATCCATGTCTTCGCCGTGAAGCTCGCGGTGCTGCTCTTGAAGCCCCGACACCCAAAGCAAAGGGATGTCACACATATTCTTGGTCAACCACAGCTGTTGCAAACTACCCAACCCCTCAACACGCCTCAGGTTTGGAGAATCATGTAGCCGTAACTCTCTCACTTGAGGAAGGTTCGATACTCTTTCCAGGCCCTCACAAGTCACAACCTACAATCAGAAGTTTCTCAGAGAGGAACTGGAGGTCCTCCTCCACCTTCAAGCAACTTGCTCCTCTTAAATGGAGCTCTTTCAAGCTGGTGGCATGTTGTCGTCCAAGCTGTCGTGGGAGAGCCCTCAGCTTGGGGCAGCCCCCAAGTTCCATCTTCTTCAACCGGGGCAGCAGATGCAACCTTGGAGACAGGGCTTCCCCTTTTCGCATCTCGGCATATATATCCCCACACTCTTCTATGGCTGCTGCTCCTGCTGCATCTTCAATAAAGGACCAATCCTCCCAGTTGTGCAAATCCCTGATGACACGTAAAGTGTGCTTTCCCACAAGATTAGGCTCCACAAGGTGACTAGTTCCCAT